CTATCAACTTCTCTCTCTCTTTTCCTCTCTCTTTCTTTAGACACTCACACATACTGACACACCCACAATGGAGAAATTAGAATAAAAGCTAGTTAGTTTGATATTTATAAGGATTTTGGCTGTACGTGTTGATAGTGTCTTGTCTGGTCTTTGTGATTATTCTGGGAAGGACACATTTCTATAAGATAATTCTCTTTCGAAGCCCGAGATATTTGTAGAAAGTGAATAATTTGCTTAAAGTGATTAATCATATTTTTATAGAAGCCATTAGAAAATATGAGTATGAAAATTGGAAGCATTCTTCCTTTAATTTCCTAGTTACTTGATTCTTGCTTAAGTTTTAAAATTCTAACTGCGAGAATGGTTGAGTTCTCAGGTGTGTTGAGAACCTGGTGTATTGGGTTGGTTGGAATGTTAGAAAAATTACCTCCTTGAAAAATTGGAATTTTAAAGGTCTAGCTCACAATTTGAAGTGGAGATTGACAGCAAATAGCTACGCTTTTCTGTTTACCGTGTATACATCTTGATTTTCTTATGTTTTCAGGATGCCTGTTTTTCTATGCCCCTTTGTGACGCTAAAGTAGAGGAAGTTAGTATGGAAGATTTATTTGAGCTTTCTGAGATTGAGAAGCAGAATCTGGGCAAGGTAATTTAATGAATAAATTCCACTTTTCATCCTATGAGTATTGCACCAATTCCACAATTGGTCTTTGTCTTTGACTTTGACCACTTTTGGTACATAAGTATTGTGTTTTTTCCCATATATGATCGTTCCGTCAATATTTCTAGTGATTAAAATCTCCAGAAAAGGACAACAAATGGTCAAAAAACATTAATCAAGTACCAAAAGTGGACAAAGCGAAAGGCGTGGACTAAATGTGGAATTGACTTAAAACTCAGTACCAAAAGTGAAATTAATTCTTAATTTAATATACATAGTTGTGGGCAGTTCAAAATGTCTGTTGCAATTTCACAATCATATGGATGACTTACCTAGCTAATCAGCATGCATATGTAACTTTACTTAAATTAGCCTTTGAGCATAACGGAAAACATGAGAAGTTAAGAAATTAGCCTGGAGTGTAATGGAAAACATGAAAAGTTAAGCTTACTTCTTATCTTGGTTAGATAATTCTCTTTCCAAGCCTGAGGCATGTATAAAAAGTGAATAACTTGCTCAAATGGTCAAAAGTGATTAATCATATTTTTATAGAAGCTATTCGAAAATCTGAGTTTGAAAATTGGAAGCATTCTTCCTTTAATTACCTAGTTACTTGCTTCTTGCTTAAGTTCTAAAATTCTAACTGCGAGAATGGTTGAGTTCTCAGGTGTGTTGAGAACCTGGTGTAGTGATTCTAATATATATATTACAATATCTCCTCATTTCTGTTAATCCATGTGAAAATTCCTGAAATAGGAGTAAAGAAGTTTGAAAATTCCAAAATAGGACTGCCATATTTTTATTCCCAAAATAGGAGTAATTTTTGCCAAGTTTGGAAAATACTTCCATGTTTAAAGTTTTGTATAAAACATGGCAGTAATTAGTCCTATTTTGGGAATAAAAACATGATAGTCGTATTTTAGAATTTACAAACATTTTTAGTCCTATTCAGGGTAATTTCCCTTAATCCATTATTAGTCATTTAATGTGCGTCTTGTTTGTACATGCATATGCATGCACTGACAAGTATTTATTGGTTCAATATTAAATGGATCAATTGGGATTGCCATTATTTTGAGTGCAGACTACTCACCCAGATACCTTAGCACATGTGGATAACAGCCCTCAGTCTCTATTGGCGTTTTCCGGAAACGAGAATGTCCATGCGTTGTATGATTTTCTGTTAAACTATAGGTATGCCTCTTTTTATTGAAGTCCCTGTCTCTAGTAAAGGTTCGTACATTTTTCTTGCTCTCATCAATGGTTTCTTTTTACAGATATTTCTTAACATCTTTGACTGGAATGGACGTCCCCTTGTTGTGCTCACCTTTGCCTTTCGAGAACTCAGCTCTGTCTGCCCCTGAGGTTGGTCCAAGTATTATGTTAGTTTTTGTAACTATTTTGAATCAATTTCTCTCTTAGGTTTTGAATAATATGTTAACATAAAATAATATGTTCTCCTTTGTAATATATGGTAGCTGATAAATTGATTTATAAAACGATCTCAATTCAATTTCCATTCAGATTGATATTACACTTGCCATATGAATCTTGAATCTTATCACGTATGATTAAAAAAATTGAATAATGGCAACTGAACCTGCTGAAACCCTGTTAGCCAAATTGAATACCCGGAATTGTTACCCTAATAGTAGTAGTGAACATTTTAATTCAAGCTCTTTTGTGTTATTGAATATCAAGTTAAGACTGATGATTCTGATACGAGTTGTTACAGGTAAGATGTAAGGAAGTAAGGAGGGTTGATCACATGTCTATCCCTGCATCTAAGAATTCTGCTAGAGCTGGAGAACCTAGCCCGGGGTGTTCTCCAGGTATATGTTATAGCATGGAAATAAAGGATCGATATCTCCCACCATGGATAATTAGCAGCGTTTGCTATGCAGTTTGTTCTCACGGCACAAGTTTTGAGGCAAGGTAAGTTATCAATTATCATTGTCGAACTTCATTAACTCAAGCTGATAAGTTATCAATTATCATTGTCGAAGTTATTACCATGTTAATTTATGGGGTGAACCTTTCCTATTTAACCTTCTATCCGAATTGTAGAGTGTAAGGTTCTCCCGCCATAGCTTCAAAAATTTGCTTTTGGTTTGGTTGGAGGGTTAGTGTGGAATGACCAGACGAACCCAACCTAACCACTAACATATTTGACATTAAGGTCCAAAGCCTGAACCAATCCACAATTATTTGGCTTAGTTTGGTTTGGCTAAACACGATCATTGTTTTAGATTAGGTTGCACACAAGCCAAACCATTATAAAGGTTTAAGGTTTTGGGATAAGCAAATAGTCAAATACGGAGTACAACCTAACCCATACACTACACACCATTCAAAGCTGATGTTATCTGTTACCTTGTTTTGTTCAGTTTTGTAACCGAGCCGGTGTCGGTTGGATTGAATATTGGTTCCAATGATGTGGTTGGTGAAAGTTCCATCCTTGAAGGTTCTAGTGATGACAAATCAAAAGATAGTATGTTTTGTTTCGGTGTACCAAATACAACAATTTCGTCTCATTTACAGTCGGCCTTCTTGAAGGGATTGAAGTATGACGGAACCTCTTACAAAGCTTTTGTGTCATCTCTTTAAAATCTCCATTTTCGATTTGCTATGAAAGTGAAGAAAGCATTTTTTTTTGAATTCCTTCGGTAGTGATGATATTCTCTCTGGGCTAGATTTGTAATGCTATATATGATCAGGTGCCCGCCATGTTTTTTTTGTCAAACTTAGGCCCATTTTTTTTGTCAAACTTAGGCCCATTTTTTTTGTCAAACTTAGGCCCATTTTGTCAGACATTAACCCACTGTTCTGTACAGGCTTAAATTTGTGACGTGGAAACTGATTTGTAATTGTATGTGATTGAAATGGTTTATTTGTAACACGTTTGGTATAGCTCTTGGTTTTTATTTTTATGATTTCAAAATAAAAATAACAGAGTTACATTGACGGTTTAAATAGTAGCCACATTGACGGTTTTGCAATCCTAGAGTAAAAATGTAAAATGACAGAGTTACATGTTCATTTTTATTTCATTTTAGCTTGTTACCATTTGAACTTATAAATTAATAGGGAGTATGCCAAATATTAACTTATTACCAAATTATTAAAATCCATATATCTTGTGAATATCTATGTACAAAAGTGTAATACATTTGTTTGTACTAATCATGTTTTCTGTGAGAGTTGTGAAGCAAACACTTTGGGGTGTTTGAAATTGATTTTGCTTTTGCTTTGAAAAAGAAGCGAAGCAGGTAGGGATGGACCTGGGCGGGCTTTTTTTGCAAATCCATGGGCCCGGAACCGGCCTGGGTTGATACCGGGTCCGGGCCTAACCGGACCGGGCCCGGTTCAATGTCTATTTTTTTTTGCTTTCTTGTTATCCCCCGACCCCCCCCCCCCCCTCACCCCCACCCCCCAAACCTCCCCAAAACACCCAGCCCTAGCCTAGGAAAAGAAAAAAATTGAAAAAAAAAAGACCCGGGCCCGACCTGAAACGCCTGGGCTGGTTCGCCCAAAACTGGCCCCGAGCTTGGGCCGTCCGACCTGCCTGAACGGGTTAAAAGCCCGGAACCGGCCAACCGGTCTCGGTCCGGTCCCGCACAATAGCGGGCTGGTTTGGTTCCGGGCCGGTTTGGCCCGGCCCAATCCATCCCTAGAAGCAGAGTGTTTGAAATTGATTTTGCTTTTGCTTTAAAAAAGAAGCGAAGCAGAATTTATTTTTCTCAAGTTGGTTTCCCTAACCTGAAAAACTGCTTCCCTAAGCAAATTCAAGTACCTAAAAGTATTTTTGTTTTTTTCACTCGAACATTTTATTATTGCACTAGACTAGACCCTCATCACATATAAATCCTAAACATTAGCTTTGTGATTTAAAGTGTCAAATTTTTTGTATTTAATTATGCTTAACACCTTTTAAGAACAAAATTCAATTTCCAAGTTTAAAAATGATTAGTACTATTATATAATTTTGAGATATTAACAAATTTATATGTATTTGTAAGTGTAATATTTAAATACGTGAATTCCAAATTCTTAAATTTGTTTTTGGAGATAATTTTGCGTATTAGTAAACATAAAGCATGAGGATTTGACGTTTTTATAAATCACAAAATTTATATAATCACAAAAACATGAGGATTTGCATATTAGTAAACATAAAACATGAGGATTATCACGAACATGTCCTTAGATATACACAAAAACTCGAGCCTTTTTTTTACACTTGACCATGTTTAGTTGGACTTTGGATATATAGGCGTTGGGAATGGATTGCTTTGGACATTCATTCATAAAGTATTTGTCAAAGCTAAAATGCTTGGCTCGCCAAATAAATAGTTTAGGGATGAAATGACATTATTATTATTTAGGCCTAACATTTGGTTCATTCTCTCATTTCAATAGTGTGTACAGGTTGCTTTACTGAAAAAAATCATACACAAATTGTATCAACAGAAGAAACTCTAGCCCATATAGGAGGCAGCCCCCTTTCAGTGAAATGCCACCGGCATAGAGAACTGCAAAGGCCAAAACAATAACCAATTTTTCTCACCAGCCAATAGAAAATATGACTCATACGCACCAGAAAGCTACCCTAAACCTGGCATTATCAGCAGCTTTAAACCCACTGCTAACCCGACCTGCATTTGCATTGATGAACGTATGTAGATTGTGGTTCCCAAACTGAGGGTTTTCAGACTTGAGTGCTTGAAAGACACCTCCACTGTCCCACACATGGTCCCTTGTTTAAAAGCATTAGCAGCCCCGCGTTGTTGCTTGACAACCCAAATGCATACCTATACACAACACAGAAGATTGTGACATTAAACTCTTTCATCTGCGAAATCACACTACTAAAGCACTCAAGTGAAACGTCAGCTTAAAAAACAAAAGAATCTCTTTCTTAAAGAGATATGTTTATATTTAGAAAGAGATGTCGAGATTGACTCACTTGCATCTATTTGCTTTCCTTCTCCATGAAAGTAAGGACCGGATCCACTGAACATCACAGAAATAGAGAAGTAATTAGATGAGATGTAAGAATATATCTAGACACGATGTGAGAAAACCTAAAACTAAAAAAGAGACCCACAGTTCACATCTTAACCCCACCAATAGACTAAAATCTCCTATGTTGTTGAGATGAAGCCCTAGGTAAAAATAGGGAATGACACACTAGCGAGTATCTCCAAAACGAGATAGTTCTAGATTTAATTATTTCCCAAATGTCCTACAAACTTCTTCACAAAAATAGTAGAAAGCTTATTGTAGGTGCAAATTGGTAAGAGTGTAAGACCAAATCATATCTCATCACCTGAACACTCCAACTTACCCCTCCAACTCACTCATAATTAATGGTCAAAGTTAACAAAATTTGACACAATAAGTCAAAATATGAACTTAGTTGTGGGACTGAGGGAGCATGAAATGCCAATATTCTGAGGTAGACACTTTGTAAAATTTTGAAACAAAAAAATGTATGCAGATGAATTGTGAAAGATAATTAGAAATACCATTGATATTGAAGTAAATGAAAACACTCCTGGAGATGGCTTCCTCACATGTGCTCCCCTTGCTGGTGACATGTCTTTGCACAACTGCTGTGCAATCTCCTTCAGCAACACCAGCTGTGCTTTATCAGTCCTCATTGAAATGATTGACTGTCTCATTGACTCCCTATCAGCCTCGAGTGCCTGCAGTCTCATATAAAGCTTCTTGATATCCGGATCTTCCATATTCATATAATTCAATGAATCCCTAGGTGACGAAGTAAAACCATCACCCCCTATTCCAACAGATGGCTTCACATCATTATGTGAGACGCTCTGATGAATGGAGTCGATTGTGTATACTCTGTCACTCATGATGTCATCTTCAACTTCGGATGCGTTGTTATCAACTTTCCTCAAGTTGGAATACTCATATGTCTGTGGAAATTTAAGCTTCGGAGACTCAGTTGTGAATTCACAACCCCTTTCACTATCTATTGAGATCTTCCTCAAATGTCTAGGCCTGAGAGGAGATCTTTGGTCAATGATGACTTTCTCATCAGGGTGATTGATGGTAGTAGGGCTCCTCTCCAGTTGGTTGATCCTACACTCCAAATCTCGAAGATGAATGTGAGACCGAGGGGTCTCCCCAAATGCATACTTCTCAACATCCACAACCTCATGTTCAACGTCGGAGTAGACTTGATTATCCTCATTCAAGCATTTCAGTGGAGGGTAATCATATGAAGGCACATCAAATTCTCCATCAGAATTCACACAGTCCCTTCCTTTGTTGTCACACTCTCCATCTGCCTCAGATTCTGTCAGCCCAAAGCTTAGCATCCTGTGTTTGTACATTTGAACCCCACACGTCAAAGATTGAATCGTTTGCTCCCTTTTATACAACAAGTCCTCCAACGCATCCATCTCGTATTGGTCATGCACTGCCTTTTCATCAGTGAATCTTTTGAATTGTGTGTATTCCATCTGAATCTCTGCCTTTTCTCTTTGTAGCCTAAGGATCATCGACATTGCTTCATTAGCAGCTGAAGACGATGCGTTTCTCTCCTTCTCCAATTCTATGCTTAGATCCATGATCGTCTGTTGCTGCTTGCTGACCATTTCACGAAGGGCAGCGCATTCGTTTTCAATGTCAATGCGTGCCGTGTGAGGCAAGATGATATCATGTTCTTGGTACTTGCGTTTGGTGTTGCGGGCCAATGTACTGGAGAAGGATCCGTCCATCGTTGAACAGATACAGCCACAATCACAGCATTTGACCGGACTGGATGACATTGGAGACACATTTCCGGAATCCATAGAGCAATGCAATATCAACCGATCACTCACACCCCCAAAAAGTTTGTTTTAAATTTCAATATAAAAAATAAAAAATCAGCCGAAGGAAACCATATACAGCATAGCTCCACCCCTTCCTATTCAATTATAAGCAACACATGTCCCTCAACTAATAAGCCAATTTCCCCAATCCTCAACCACCATATACAATCAGAAGAGAATCCCTGCAAAACACACGCAAACCCTATGAATCCCTACAACATACATGTCAAACCAACCCTAAATTCCAGAGAGGTAATAAACGGAGAACAAAATGAGCAAGAAAACGTATATATTATTATTATTATACCTGGAAGGAAGCAGGACGAGGAAGATCAGCTGGGAATTAGAAAAAATTGATGTGAAATTCTCCCGGGAAACGCAAAGCAGTCCAAAGATTTGTTCCCGAAACTGAAAATTTCAGAAAATCGAGGGACGAAAGAGATGGAAGGGGGAGGAAAGATTTGAAAAATAAAAAACGATGGAAGAGAGATTAAAGATTTCTTGTTTCCGTTTGTGCGCTGCTGGACGCGTATGATGACCGGTTTTGGGTTGAAAATGGAGATCTGACGGTGCAGTATATATACCTTTAATGGCGATCGTGAACTGGGAGTAGTCGTTTTGGACCCAGTCCCTGTTTTCCCGGTAATTAGCAACTTTTCTGGCGTATCCAGTCCAGACGGAGTATATTGTACACTTCCCTATATTTTATCTGTTGGACCAATATATCGTACGGCAGTATTTCATCTGCAGTCAACGGATTGTTGATCTTAAGCGGTAAATGGACTTGACCGTTAGGGAATTATCACTAGAACTTTCCTGACTCCAACAAAAATCAACATTTTGTGTACACCTTCTTATACACATCAGTACACTTCGTGTCTGTGAGAGTTTTTTTGTCTGTGAATCTCATTCCACAGACAAATACTGACTTCTTTTGTCTGTGAAAAATTCTACAGACAAAACAAGTCTGTTTTTGTCTGTGGACTGGGATTCACAGACAAAAAAATATTCTCACAGACACAGAGGTATACTGATGTGTATAAGAAAGTGTACAAAAAGATTTTTTGAACAAAAATTACCCATTTTTCTTCTTCTTCAACTCCTCTGACCTTTTTCTACTTTTGTCGCCTTCTTCATGTATTAAGGATCTAATCACGATTTTATTCTTTTCTCTTCAAATTAAGTGGCCGTTTGGTAACACTATTTTTCGATTTATCAGGCTTATCAGTCAACTTTTCCATCAAACACGTAACTTTTGCTTTTGCGCACTAAATTGTTTAATAAGCAGAAAAAGTAAGGTTGAAGTTACTTTTCTGGCTGTATCGGCTGAAATTACTGTAGATGATCATTTTAGCTATTTAACATATATATTTTTCGTTGTTTTATTAATAACATATATTTTAAAAATAATTTTTTCTTAAATCGGCAGAATCAGCCAATACAACCACTTCAGCCAGAACTTCATAAATTTCAGCAGAATCAGCCAAATCAGCCGATTTTTGTGCCCCCAAACGGACTCTAAATCACGATTAAGCATGAGTTTTTCCTTCTCTATCAATTCAAAATTGAAGTCTTACTAATCTAAAACAAAGATTTGTACTTGTATTTGAAAGTGTGTAACATTTCTTCGAGCTTCACTTGATGCTTTTTCACGTGTGATTCATATATTGTTAACAATTGAATTCAAGAATTCTGATGAATCAGTGATTGAAATCCAAAATCTGAGAGAATGTCAAAGAGAAGAAGAACGCAGAGAGTTTTGCGGAATAGGGTTGTTTACAACTGAAATCGATAATCTATCTAAAATAGAATAAGTCTATGCTATATATACTATGTATAAGCTAATATAAAAGAGGCTCAATAAACAAAGGCCCAAAATAAGTAAAAGATATCCAAATCAGCAAATCATCAGTCTTGTTACGCCCCCTCAAGATGAGCATGGATGTCTAGCATGTTCATCTTGACTACAAATTGGCTAAACAATGGATTCCCAAGTGGCTTTGTATAAATATCTGCAAGTTGAAACTGATTTTTAATATGAATTAAACAAATCAAACCAGCAGCTATTTTTTCTCTAATTAGATGACAATCAAGTTCAATGTGTTTAGTTCTTTGGTGCTGAACAGGATTATAAGCCAAATGATATGCAGATTTATTATCAGTATAAATTGTCATAGGTAAAGAAGACTGAATGTGCAAATCATCAAGAATATAATATAACCATTGTGCTTCACAGACTGCATTAGCAGCAGCTCTGTATTCAGCTTCAGTTGAAGACCTACTAATAACTTGTTGTTTTTTAGATTTCCATGAAATTAAAGAACTACCAAGATAAAAAGCATAACCAGAAACACTTCTTCTAGTGTCAATACAAGCAGCCCAATCTGAATCTGTGTAACATTTAATAGAAAAATCAGAAACAGAAGAATAAAAAAGACCTTTACCTGGAGATTTTTTAAGGTATCTAAGGATCCTGTGAGCTGCACTCATATGAATATCAGTGGGAAAGGCAAGAAACTGACTAAGTACTTGAACACTATAAGCAATATCAGGTCTTGTAACAGTCAAATATATAAGTTTGTCAATTAAAGTTCTATATGTTTTAGGATCATCTAAAGGAATACACTCAGTTTTTGAAAATTTAATTTTACAATCCATGGGAGTAGTGTAAGGCTTACAGTTTTGATAACCATATTCATTTAAGATGTCAAGAGTGTATTTTATTTGACACAAATTAATACCTTTATCAGATCTGGCAATTTCAATTCCTAAAATATATTTTAATTCTCCAAGATCCTTAATAGTGAATTTATTATTCAGAAAAACTTTTACTGCATTAATCTCTTTCATACTATTTCCAGCAAGAATGAGATCATCTACATAAACTAAAATAGCAGTGAAAGAATGTTTAGTGGTTTTAGTAAATAAGGAAAAATCAGCCTTAGACTGTTTATATCCAAGTAGTTTAAGTGAATCAGAGAGCTTACAAAACCATTGTCTAGATGCCTGTTTAAGACCATACATACTTTTGGTAAGCTTGCAAACCCTTGTATCATTTGGAGACAAGTAACCTGGAGGTGGCTGCATGTAAATATCTTCATTTAGATCACCATGTAAAAAAGCATTATTTACATCAAGTTGATGTAAAAATCATTTCTTAGCACTAGCAATAGCTAAGATAATCCTAACAGTTGTCAGTTTAACAACAGAAGAAAAGGTGTCAAAATAATCAAAGCCTTCTTCTTGAGTATAGCCTTTAGCAACTAATCTAGCTTTATATTTTTCTAAAGAACCATCAGCTTTTAATTTTGTTTTAAAGACCCATTTACATCCAATGACATTCTGATTAGAGGGTGGATTAACTAAGATCCAAGTATTATTTTTCTCAAGGGCTTGAAGTTCAGTAGACATAGCAGTTTGCCATTCAGGAAGTTTTGCAGCTTGTTTAAAATTTTTAGGTTCTTTGATATTAGACAAAGCAACAATAAAACAAGAATGAGAATCATTTAATCTGGTATATGTAATATAATTTGTAATAGGATATCTTACAAAATTGCAGGTAGATGAAGGAATATTAGAAATACCTGCAGTTATGGAATTAGGTAATTCATAACTGTAGTCTTGTAAATGATTAGGCAAAGACCTTACCCTTGTTGATTTCCTTTGTGAATGATCATCTGGAACATTAGAGTTCTGTAATACACTAGAATCATTATTTAGCATGGAATTTTGTAAATTCATTAAATTAGTTTCATCATTGATCTGATTTTGTAAATAATCAGTAGAAGAATTGTCAGATTCATCAAAAGTATTATTAAAAACTGGTTTGTAGTTATAAAAATAATCATGATCAATAGAATGTAAAGAATCAGAATTAGATTGAATATTATTATTAGGATTAGAAGAATCAGAAAACTTTCTATATGGAAAAATCATTTCATAAAATTTGACATTTCTAGAGATAAAGAATTTATGATTAACAATGTCATAAAGTTTATATCCCTTAGATCCTAAAGGATACCCAACAAAAACACACTTGACAGCTCTAGTATCAAATTTTGATCTATTTGCATTAAGTGTAGAAGCATAAACCAGGGAACCAAAAACTCTTAAATGAGAATAATCAGGAGTCTTACCATATAAAAGTTCATAGGGAGATTTGTTATTTAAAATAGGAGTAGGAAGTCTATTTATAATGTGAACAACAGTGAGTATACAATCAGACCAAAACATAAGAGGCAAACAAGATTGAAATAAAAGAGCTCTAGCAATTTGAAGAAGATATTGATGTTTTCTTTCAACTCTGGCATTTTGTTGGGGAGTTTCTACAGAAGACAGTTGATGAATGATGCCATTATTAGAATAAAAGGATGGAAAAATAAATTCAGTTCCATTATCAGTTCTAATGGTTTTAATTTTTGTATTAAAATGAGTAAGGATAAGATTGTAAAAATTCATCATGTGAAATTTAACTTCAGTTTTGTTTTTCATCATGAAAACCCAAGTACATCTAGTATGATCATCAACAATGATTAAGAAATATTGAAAACCAGAATAAGATTGCACTTTAAAGGGACCCCAGACATCCATATGAACAAGTTCAAAAGGACTGGAAGCATGAGAAACACTTTCAGTAAAAGGTAATTTCTTTTGTTTAGCAAAATGACAAATGTCACATGCAGTATCTTTATTTATATGGTGAGAAACAGTACAATCAACAATAGCATTCAGTTTATTAAAAGGAAGATGACCTAATCTATAATGCCAAATATCAGATTTAGAGTCAGAACATTGACTATGAACATGATTAACAACAGCAGATTTATTATGAGTAGAAGAATCAGCAGAGTTGTAGAGATATAAGCCATTTTTTAGATCAGCATAACCAATCATTGTGTTGGTGTGATGATCTTGCAAAGTAGCATGATTAGAAGAGAAATGAACAAATATTTTTTCATGTAATGCCAAACTTGAAATAGATATAAGATTAAAGTTAAACTTAGGAACACAAAGAACATTATGAAGAGTAAGATTATTGTTAATCTTAACATCTCCTATATGAGTGGCAGTAATAAAGGAAACAGTTGGTAATTGAACTTTAATAGAAATAGGTTTGGGTGAAGAAGTATTTAAAGTAAAATCATGAATCATGTGATCAGAAGCTCCAGTATCAAGAATCCATATAATAGGTGTAATAGTGGAAAGAAAGACAGAATGATTACCTAAGAAATTAGAATCAATAGGAGGAGATTGATCAGTGGCAGGTGCAACCATAGCAACATGAGCAGAAGCTTTGTCATTCTGGCTCTTTATAAATTCTAGAAACTTGTTATACAGAGTAGGATCACAGAGGTCCATGTCATTAGAAGAAGAATCAACAGATGTATTGGCAAGTTGAGCCTGAGTGTTCTTGTTAGAATAAGATGATTGTTGAAATCTAGGAGCAGTTCTTTGTCCTTTAGGTCCTTTCCAATTAGGTGGATAACCAATGATTTGAAAACATTTGTCAGCAGAGTGTCCTTGGTAACCACAATGGTTACAAATGACAGAGTATTTTTTCTTATAATTTTGATTTTTGACAAGGAAAGCAGTGGAATCATTGGCAGAAGTATCAAAGTTTTTAGAAGGATCAGGAATGGAAGGAACATAATTGGCAGGATATTGAAGTGTTCTTTGAGATTCTTCTTGGAGAAAGAAGGAATAAACAGAAGAAAGATTAGGACAAGGTTTTTGAAGAAGTATTTGGCTTCTCAAATGTGAGTAGGATTCATTTAATCCAACAAGAAATTTTTGGACAGATTCTTTCTGAAGTAATTCTTGATATTTTTCATGAATTTTGCAAGTGCAAAGGCCACAGGAACAAAGAGGAAGGGTTTTGAAGTCTACATATTCATCCCAGAGACCTTTGAAAAAATTGTAATAAGAAGTAATGGTCTGAGTGCCCTGAGAAATATTACCTAGGGTTTTTTCAAGATAAAAAAAGCCTAGGACCATCAGTCTTGCCATATCTAAGTTTGATTTCGTCCCAAAGTTCTTTCGCAACAGTAAAGTATAAGAAAGTAGAACGAATTTCAGGCGCAATAGAGTAAATCAACCAAGATAACAAGAGAGCATTGATACGATACCATACAGCATAGGATGAAGAGTTATCTGGACTCGGCTGCTCAATGGAACCATCCAGAAAAGCCATTTTGTTCTTCACAGAAAAAGCCACCACGACCGACTTCTTCCAAGCTTTGAAATTATCTCCATGAAGTGTCTCAGAGATAATACGCAGACCGGCATGGTCACTAGGATGTAGGTAGTACGGAGAGGAAGGATCTTCAAGAGGATTGAGAGGGAATATAGTAGATTGATTCATCGCAACAGAATGTTGTGCGAAAAATTAGGGTTTGATAGGGCAAAGATCGATTATAGAAATCGAAGAAGAAGAAATCAGAAAAGATGATGAAGATCGTAACCTGCTCTGATACCATGTTAACAATTGAATTCAAGAATTCTGATGAATCAGTGATTGAAATCCAAAATCTGAGAGAATGTCAAAGAGAAGAAGAACGCAGAGAGTTTTGCGGAATAGGGTTGTTTACAACTGAAATCGATAATCTATCTAAAATAGAATAAGTCTATGCTATATATACTATGTATAAGCTAATATAAAAGAGGCCCAATAAACAAAGGCCCAAAATAAGTAAAAGATATCCAAATCAGCAAATCATCAGTCTTGTTATATATGAAATTTAGTATGACACGACTTTTGTATTTGACATTAGCAGTTTAATTTTGTATGACCTCACTCATGTATCTGACACGTAGTTTACACTTTGTGTAACATGATTTACATATTTGACACACACACTTTACATTTCCGATAAAGTCATTATATCAAACAGTTAACTTTTGTCTCAACTAAAAATAATACATTTACGAGTTAACCACATGTTCTAGTTACATTTATAAAATCATTTACAATGTTATGCATCACATTTATATGATATAAAAAATTATATTAATATTTCTTGAACACAGTTTTTAATGAAATTCCCAACCGATCAAGGCTATTTGAGGTCCTTCTCAGTGGCATTTTTTAATGAAATTCTTCAAGCATGTTCTTCATGAAGTGTATTTTATAACACAAAATTTCACATTAAAATTTAATCGTGAACTCAGTTAAATAAATTATTGAAACATATTGCGCTTTATATATAGACAAAGCGTAGTACATTTCAATTATTTATTTAACTGACTTCCCAATAGCATTTTAAACTGAAAATTTGTGTGTATAATCTACACTTGATGAAAAATATGCTCATAAAATTTCATTAAAAAATCTTCAGCGAGAAGGACTCCAAATGGCCTTGGTCGGACCTGGTATTTATGTATATTCTCATCGATTTTATATTTTTGGGTGTTCGCATGAACACCCTTGCATTGAATACATCCGCCACAGTCGGACGACAACTTTCGTGCAACTGCGCGAGGAGACCGTTTCTCTTCACATTTTTTATAACGGCATTCACATAGAACTTACTCATACTTATGCCATTCATGTTGCATAAGAGTACAGTGCACACGAAGCATCTATCCCATGGTTCAACAACTAGGGTTTGATGGTATTAACTCTTTGGTCCCACTATTATTTAAAAAATATACGGAGTACTACATATAATTTTGTGATTGATATTTAATTAGTAAAATGTAAATAAAATATAAATAAATAAATTAGACACACATTACTACATATATACTCCCCCGTCCCTTATATCTTTGTCATCTTTTCTTTTTTGTTGTCCCAGAACTTTCTCATTTTCTCTTGTACTCTATTTATTTGTGGTTCTTATTGTATCTCTCTTCTCTACACAAATTTTGATCACACAATTTCTATTTTATTATTTTCGTGTCGGTCAATCTTGACAAAGTATCAAGAGATAGATCGAGGGAATATGATATGAGATAATTTTAATAGAACGGACGAAATAAATGATGTGACAAAGGAAGAGAAATGTAGTGAGTAATTTTTTGTGTTTATTGTTTTTATCCTATAACACATCCCATTTTTCTATTTCGAATGTACAGGTTCTTTTGTACACGCCCTTTACATTTGGTCGATATTACGAACACTTCATCTATGTCACAGACAATTCATCTAAAAGTGTAAATTTTCAAAATTTATCTAGTAATTACCGATGATGCAGGTAAAATGTAAACTTTAGGAAATATTTAATTCTCTATTTTCTAGGAGTCAACTTAATCCTCAACAATGCCATTTTAACCTAATTTAGTTTTCATGCATATTTAGTTCTAAAAGAAGGGTACTTTGCTGCCTTTATTAATTCACTAAATTTAGACCCAATTTACAATTCAATTTAGTCCTCGAACTACGTAATTTACTAACTTACTCCTCAACCGACGAAAATACATTTGATAATTACAGTAATCTATATTTTATATATGAGGACAAATAAATTTTTATTTGTAAGATGTTAAACTTTTCATATTGACAAATATACATTTCCTTACATCTCATAATGAAAGTCTTCAGAGCACGTATACCCCCACCCCAATACCAACCTACCCCACCTCACCTCATACCATACCCGAACCTATCTTCTCCTCCATCCTCATACCCCACCCTCCATTTACCTCCTTCACCTACCCCACCAACATGCTTACCCATACCCTACTCCACTCTAACCCCCACTCTCCGCCCCTACCTCTATCCCCACCTCCCACCTCCTACTACGTGCCCTAGGGCCTGCAACCACATTCATGATATGGATGGGGTAAGAGGTAGCGGGGGTAAGGTGAGGGTGTGAGTGGTAGTAAGAAGGGGTAAGTCCATGAATACTATACTTGAAATTTTGAAGTTAAACCATTTTTTGATAGATGTATAGATCTTATGAAGTAAACACACTTTTATTAAACACAACTTAGTAAATAATGGGCTACTAAAATATGTTTGGGAAACTTCTCGAAACAATAGAATTCCTATATTTTTTCTTCCCAAAATAGGAGTACATGTCATATTTATTGTCATTACTACCAAAATATCTATGACATATATAGTTTTATATAGTAAAGTTGAGTTAAAGACTAATGATGTGTTAGCTTCCTATTAGATAAAACAAATTCTATTATCACAACAATTAAAAAAATTAATTAACTCCATACATCACACGGCTATTTCAAAAAAAAAACTTCTTGCATCAGAACCGATTTGGAGCAAAAAAAGGAGAAATAATCTCTCTTTTTAAAGTGACATAACTTATATATATATATATATATATATATATATATATATATATATATATATATATATATATATATATATATATATATATATATATATATATATATATATATATATATATATATATATATATATATATATATATATATATATATATATCTACATCCCGTAGAAGGTTCCACACAGTTTACGATATTTAACTAACCATAATTAAAGTTAATTGATCCTATCCGTAATTAGATTCTCTTTAGTAAATAAAATCTACATATCCAGAGACTACATCAAACGTTTTATAAAGTCGCCAAAGAAAAACTCAAATTTGATAAAAATTGGATATATGAAGTAATAGATTAAGAATACTTTATGTTGACCGGATAATAGTGGAAGGGAACTTTTGAATGATATGAAGGTAGTATTTTATATAGCAAACCCAAGTTAAAAATCCTATTGATTTATAAAAATTCTATTATCACTACTACTAAAACATTTAATTCATATAAGGTGACTTGGTTCATCATTGCTATTCAGTACATGTATCACAGCTCATTTGGAGAAAATGAAGGAGAAAAAATAACTTTTTTTAAATGTATTAAAAGTTATTTATATGTATTCCAATTTTTACAGAATATACATCAAAATTTAAAACATTCTATTATCTTTCATATGACATCAATATTGCATATATAAAAATAAAAAAATCATTTTATACAATACATTTGGGTTAAAAATCAATGAGGTGTTAATCTCTTATTGGTTAGAAAAAGATTTATAATCATTACTACTAAAACATTTAATTAATCCAAGATCACTCAGTGTATCTCTACTATTCACTCTGTGCATAAGTGCTATTCATATTAATCACGCCAACTCATTTGGAGAAAGTGAAGGAGAAAATATCTTTTAACGTGCTATAACTTTTTATTTGCACTCCAATCTTTACGAAAATTATATCAAAACTCATTGATTTTTCATATGTCATCAATATTGCACACACACACACACACACACACACACACACACACACACACACACATATATATATATATATATATATATATATATATATATATATATATATATATATATATGCAAAATCAGTGGGGTAAATGTCGAGGGACATTTACCAGATTTTATTAAAAAGAGAAAGCTTACAACGAAAGAGGGGGACTAGGCCAAAACCTCTTTAAGGAGAAATACAGGAAGTCAAACAAGAACGATTACAACCTAATAGAAGGAATACTGAACTTGTCCATGTAGTAAGCTCTCTTAACCGGGCCTGGTAGATCAATAATATTGGAAAAAATAATTAACTGGGCTGAATGAAGATGGGCCAAACTATGCGCAGCCCCGTTTGCTTCTCGCCAGGCATGTTGAAACTTAACATGTTTCCTATTCGAAGCCAGCATCATTTCCTGAATCAGAACCCTCCATCTTCCCATCCGGCTTTCTTCCAAATTCCTCAACACCGACACAATATCTGTTTCCACCTGGAAGTCGTGGTAACCAGCCTCCATAGCCCACTTCGTAGCAAAGTGCAGAGCCTTCATCTCAACATCAATCGCAGAAACGACTTGCAAGGGGAACGAAATGGCGAAGAGCATCTCACCGCCTGAATTCCTCATAATTGCCCCTCCAAAAGCACCCTGAGGTAAGTAGGAAGCATCTGTGATATATAAAATATATTATTTTATATAGTAAAATGTAGTTATAAATCAGTAATGTGTCTATTTTTTATTAGTCAATAAATTTTGTTATCACTACTACTGTAACATTTAATTAATTCAAGTTCACTTGGTGCTTCACTGCTATTTACTCGATGAACATTGATTCATTTTAATCACGCCAACTTATTTAGAGAAAGAGGATGAGATTTTTTTCTTCTTTTTTTTTGTACTCCAACTTTTATAAGAAATGCATCAAAATTCATAAGTTTTGTAGTCTTTCATATTAAACCAATATTGCATATATAAAAATAAAAAAAATTATTATTTTTATATAATAAAACTGAAGTATGAATCAATGATGTGTGAGTCTTATATTGGTCAATAAAAATTTCATTATCATCACTATTAAATAATTTAATTAATCTAAGTGCATTCAGTGTATCACTGCTATTCACCCGGTGTATCACTGTTATTCACTCGGTGCATTACTGCTATTCATTTTAATTCAATCAACTCACTCAGTGCATCACTCCAAATTTAACAAAAAATATATAAAAAATCATAAATTTTTTTGATCTTTCATGTGACACTAAATTACACATATATAAAAACTATTGTAATAATTGAGCTATAAATCAATACTATATAATACCTATAGTAAATTTTGAGTTTAAATGTGTTTTATGGGAAATGCACATTTACACAATAGTCGTGACACATATAAGTAATCCAATTTTCATTAAATATTTAAATTTATTATTTTATTTAGTAAAACAGGATTTCAAACTCTAACATATATGTCACTCTGTTATTGGTCAACAAAATTCTATTATTTTACACTAGTTAGGCATTAATACTTCAATATTTATCCTCAATGATAATCTTTTTCAATTATGACAGTAATGTATGATCATATTTGAGAGACAAAAAAATAAAAAATCTTACGAAGTATTTTAAAATTTCAACCTATTTACCCTGCCCACACCGTGCGAATCCGAAAATCCGAAATGGGGTCCCTGCCTCCATCGTCGTCAACTCGTCCCTACTTCTCTAGTAAGACCCAAGAAGGCAAGAACTAAGAAGTTGGAAAATTCATGGCAGGCCTTCAAACAAGTATAATGATCAGACACTATTCAATTTTTGTGAAGGCCCAAGCTTAAACCGTTTTGGTCCACATCTGCTCGGCTGCGTTTCAAAAAATCAACGCCATTTCAAACCAAACCTTTTTGTCTGGTGGCCCCTCTCTCGATCTCGCAACTTCGCCGACGGTGCAGCTCATTCACAGGTAATTCGTTTCAAGTCATTCTCGTTAATGTTCGAGTTTTAAGTGGCAACTAATGCTACGATAGCTGTATCATCGTATTCTAGTGATGACGGGCATGTCCTGATGCATTTAACCTCTCTCGTCAGTACCACTTTAGGAATGTTCAATTGATGAATTTCATTTAAATTACGAGTAGATATTTCTGACAGTTTCTTCAATTGGCGCTTCCTTTTGTACTCTAGGTAGAGGTTCCTGATGATTATATTTCCATACGATTTATGTTTGTGCTTAGTGGTAGCTATTCGAGCAATGGGAGATTGATCCGTGTCAACCAATCGTATTAATATTGCAAATAGGATCGGCTATCATAACTTGCTGTAGCTACACATGGTTTGCCTCTGATGTGAAACATGGATTAAAAAAGGAAGTAATGGTCAGGTTATATGAATTTAATGACAGGATATTTTGCAATCATATCATAGATGTTGTCATGACTATTTACGGCAATTATGGTACCATCTATACAGCATTTCCAAACAGAAAAGGAAAAAAATAAGCTGGGTTTGTGTTGGTGAATCACCAGCTGTCAGAAGTGCAACATATCTTTCTGGGTTGAAGTGTTCTATTCCTATCTTGGGTTATCCATTGTTTTGATGTAGTAAAACCCTTTCATAAAATTAGAGTTAGTAATTACTATAAGGCTCCGTTTGGGTGGAGGGTTTTGAGGGCTAGTGGGGAAGTCATTTGATAATGATTCCAAAACGAATAAATGGTTACTAAAATGTTGTTTTATCGTTATTTATGTCATTCTTTCATCTTTCATTAAGTCTCAAATACATAGTGTATATCAAGAGAAATAAGCTTAGTCCTCAAAAGGTTTATGCTCAAAACCCTCCAAAAACTAACTCCCAAACTGACCCCTAAAGTCATTTACAGTTCAATCTTTGAATATTGAATACCAAGGGGTGCTACTTGTACACATAATTTGTACACATTTGTTGTACACATTGCCTAGTTGCTTGTGTACACAAGAGCTTCTGAACGAGTTGTTTGTGTACACAGGCAACTGGGGTGTGTGTACAACAAATATGTACAAATTATGTGCACAAATGACTTTTTCCATTGAATACCGTTGTCATCTTGTGTTTTGTATTATCCTGCTTATTATATAACCTTTTGTTGTTATTATATTTCTGATGCTTGGCAGTTTTTCAATTAATGGAAAATTCACATTCAAATGAGAAAGATGCTCTGGATGATGAGCAGCTAGCTAAAGATGGTTGGGTGATGGTCAAGAAACAGATAGTCACTATCCTGGTTCCTGCCTCTGAGCAGTCTATATCAATTGATAGTCAAGAAAGCCCTCTGCAGGAACCACCAAGAAAATCTAACAAATCCCGAAATACTAGTTCAGTGGGAATCCACACAGAGAATCAAACGGTTGTTGAACGTGAGAAGTTCATACCAGTGGCAAGTAAACATACTGTACAGCCTCAACCCACCATGCACTTCCAGAAACCATCAAAATTAAGGATGGCATCGGAATATCCACATGTTTCTAGTTTTAGAACAAGCTTCGTGAGAAAAATAACTCAGCAACATTTGATCAATGCCAATGGGGGTTCAATGATGAACAAAAGAATGAAGGCTCTTAATATTGAAAGAAGGCTCCGCAGTGCTGGTGGACTGACTAATTGGTTGGTTTCGTTAGGACTTGGTGGTCATTTTATAAAGATCTTTCGGGGTAATAACGTCAATAAATTTCAGCTGGCGAGTTTGACAATGGAAAAGCTGAAAGACATGGGCTCGTTTGCTGTTGGTCCTAGGAGAAAGCTGTTACATGCCATTGATTGCTTTTCCCATCCATATTGTTGTAAGCATAAATGACCTTATGGGACAGTAATGACTAACAAGATCAGTGTAGCATTTTCCGGGGAAGGTATTCTATTCTATATCTCTTGGACATGTCTCTGAATCATGTAAATATTGTATGTGAAAGATCCTATTATCTGTGATGTTGGGGCAGTTGGGCTATGGTCTCTGTGAGGTCTGTGATTTTTGCAACAGTGGAACTAGTTTGATCTAGCCTAGAGTTTGACTGTGTCTGCATATAAAGTTAATACACAAATGGCTATGAAAAGTGAAAACCAAAAAGCTCGTCAATCGAAGGCCTATAGCTCTTTGTTTATTCTTCCATTTGATTTTTATTTTCTAACAAGGGACTGCGTATATAAGAAGATGAAATTAAAATGTGTTTAGCTTAATTGTTCGCAATCATAAGTTGTACATCTAGTTTACCTTTTTATGAAATGGAAAACTGGGCAGCTTGCCATTTGCCATGAACTTTTCATCTTATCCTGGCAGCTCATCCTGAACTTTTCGTCTTGATCTTGTTTAGGGAACAAGTCTGTGACAAGCTGCTACCTTACAGTGCACAAGGGGTTAACCACCGTTTGATTACCCTAGGTGGCAATGAACCTCCATGATGCAAAAACTAATATAAAATGGAACATAGCTGACCAGTTTAATCAAGAAGTTAAGTACTCAGTCACTTGTGGTCAACATGTTTGCTGCATGACCAACATGATTACTCTAACTGGGCTTGGACTCGGGCCGGGCCGCCGGTTCCGTCAGTGGCAGATCCAGGAATTGGTTTTATTGGGGGCACAATATTTAATGATACCGTCACCTAAATATGTTTGAGTCGTAAAAACACATATTGATAAAAGTAAAACTATGTTAGTTTGTAAATTATAATTTAAGATGATGAATCACACAAATATTACCAAATATATTACTCCCTTCGTCCCCCTAATTTTGTCCCGTTTTACCTTTTTCGTTCGTCCCATTAAGTTTGTTCCATACCATATTTGGTAATATTTGAGTGGTTAGAATTCATTCCTACTTGATTTACACTTTATCAATCCAATACCAACAACACAATTCTACTTTTTCTTAAAAATCACATCACACCCCTTTGTCCGAAACATAGAGGGATGGAGGTAGTATGTGACAACGAAAGTAGGACATATGAAAAATAGAATGATTAGAAAAATATAATAGGACAAAGTAGTTTGTAATATACACTACATTTCAGTTCTTGAAATTTAAGAATATTTTTAATAATTTTTAAACACATACGGGAGTTTTTTTAGTACTTTCTAAAACTAAGCTAATAAGCTTAGTTCAATATTTTAACTCCCACTAAAACCTAAAAAGCATGGAAAAATTTCAGAAATAGGAGTAACAATATTTGAGAATTCCAAAATAGGAGTGTAATGTTTTTCCTTAAATACGAGTAATTACGGTCAAGTTCGGAAAATACTTTCATGTCTAAAGGTTGATACTGTCAAAACATGCCATCAATTATATTACTCCTATTTAAAAAAAAAATATGACAGTTCTATTTTAGAATTCTAAAACATTTTTAGTCCTATTTAGCATCATTTATATAAAAAAACATTAATAACTTGAAACTATCCCACAAAATATAATTGCAATCTTATTTTATTTAATCCCTACATAAAATGAAAGATGCCTGCAGAGGAAGTTAATTTACAAAAGCAAATAAAATAGTGGTTATGAGTCGTACATATTGCCTATATTAGTCTAGGAAAAGTAATCAAGAAAATGATTAATTAAACACCCTTAGTAAATGATACGGTCCATAAGCGAATAATTTTACAAAATGAAAGAAACTTCCTCTTCAATTGAAGCCAAATTAAACTTCTATTGGGGGCATCACTATATTTTAATTGGGGGCATACCTCTAGATTATAAATTTTACAAAATTATTATAAGAAGTTATTGGGGGCACCTGCCCCCATTCTCTTGGCTTTAGATCCGCCCCTGGGTTCCGTATCCATAGGCCCGAGACTGGTCCGGGTCTTGACCGGTTCCGGTTCATTTTCTTTTAATTCTTATTTATTTCACCCCCACCCCCATCCCCCCCAACCCCCCAAACCCCTCGGAAATACCCAGCCCAGCCCAACTAACCCCAGCCCAAACCAAACCAAAAAAATCAAAAATAAAAATAAAAAAAGGCCCGAACCGGGCCCGGCCCGGACGGGCCGGTTCCCCTTTTCCCTTACCCATGCCTGGAACCGGTAGACCACCCGGGCCTAGGCCTGAACCGGAACCGGACCTGGTTTCACGGGCCGGGCCAGTCCCGCACAGTAGCGGGCCGGGCCGGTTCCCGGGCTGGGTGGCCCGCACCGAGTCCAAGCCTACTGTCTAACAGGTACTATGTTGAAATAGTGGTGGAATAAAAAATACTCCCTCCGTTTCTGAAACAAGTTCCACCTTTCCTTTTCGGGCAGATTCAAAATTAAATTCCACTTTCAAACATTTTCTTATTTGGCAAATTATCTACATCAAAACAGTGTCAAACAGTGTGAAACAGTGTTCAAACAATGCCAAACAGTGCACTCAAATAAATCAGCTATCGGTACAGCATAGCATTAATTTTTTTAGATGACACATTTTCATGATATTTTGGATCTTTCACATAATGCTTTTGGAGCTATTCACGTGGAAACGAAGAATAATCCCTATACTCTTTTCACGATTTTTTTCTTTTTGCATAGTTTCTCATTAATGGTTTGGGGTAAGACTTCATTTCTCCCTTTTGCAGTGTGTCGTTCATGCATCCTTAATCAAATTTGATAAGAAACTTTCAGCTCTTATCCCACATTCCCACGTACTGATGCGGGTGACTTAAAATTTTGGATTGCAAAACCTTTCTAGAAGTTACACCATTTGGTGATAAAAATTAGGATTAGGAGTCCAAAGATAAAGATGGGGATTTTTGACCCTTAATTTGGTGTAGTAGAAGATTAAAAGTGGAATTAAAAGTGGGAAAGGGGATGAATAGTCAAGGGTGTAAAAATAGAGGGTGGGTTGATAGGGAAAAAGATAAAGAAAACGATGGCCGGCTCATGCGCGTTGCAAATGATGACATCACGTATACGTCATTATAATCCCAAAATTGTTTAAAACTCGTACGTATAACATTTTTATATGTTCTCCAATTTTTTTTTTAAATATATCAAAATTCATGAATTTTTATTATCTTTCACATTACACCAACCGTAATATATAAAATGAAAAAACAATATGAAGTTTTAATCGGTGAAGTTTTGTTGAGCCCAAAAAAATTTGAAACACTAATTTTTAATTCATGGAACCTTCACAAATAACTAAATATTCCGATCTTTACCTGATGTAAGTTCATTTTTTGTTAACCGAAAAACATTAAAAAATTTAATGAAATTTATATATTTTTACATCGAAATGTGTATTTTTTATTTCATAATTATTCAGGGAAAAAATAAAAGGAAAACATTACTTACTTCGCATAATAATTTAATTAATATTTTACTAAATTGATATGTAAAAAATATGTTGATTGTATTTTATTGATAAGGCTGGAATGCAGAGAAATAGAAGTCTAAATATTATTTTCAAAGGGACGAAATCCATTTTTAACATTTTGGCCTCCTCATCACTACAAATGGTTATGGGAAGTATTTTTCACACACTAGCCTTGTACTTAAATTAGCCATTATAACTTAAAGTACTTCTAAGGCAGTATCTTACCCTTTATTTCTGGGTAGATATGAGAACCAAATCGGTTTATTTTGCAATGGGATCACATTCTATGAATCTATGTTGAAAAAACTTTACATATATATATATGGAAACAATGCAATTAGAATATGCTCAGTTATTATTGATTATTTGAATATAATCATTTTCCTTTTGGATAATTTTTTCTAGTCCGCTTCACTGTGTTTTGGTTTGATATTATGCCAATTTATTTTTTGAGATATATTTTATAATAATAGTAGTGCAGTATATGATTCATAGAATAGTTATTCAAATAAATAAAATGTCAATCTTGTTTTATGTTCTTATTATTTAAAATTTTAACAAACATGAAAACAAATTTAATTAAATAAAAATAATAATTTTATAAAGAACTAATTTGAAAAGAAATGATATTTTTTATTCTAATAACTGAATGACGAGAAATATACAACATATATAGTTATTAATGATTATTTATTTGTGAAGTAAAATGCACATACTAATGACATATTAGTTCACAACTTCACATTAGATGAAACATGACAATATCATAATTAGGCATGGATTCGGGCCGGGCCTAGGCCCGGCCGGGTCGCCGGTTTGTGAATGGTGGGCCCGGGAACGGCCCGAGGTACAAGCGGTTCCGGTTCGGGCCGGGCCACTCGCCCGGGTCACGGGTCGGGCCACCCGCCGGGCCGGGCCGGTTAAATAATTTTTTTTTATAATTTATACTTTATAGTTTTATACAAGTATTAAAAACAACTTTCAAATGCATTTATTTGGAATGAAATAGGAACTACATTTGACAATTGAGAAAAAAATACAATATGAAATACATTTTGTAATCATTCGGAACTTCCCGGACCTCCTGGTCCTTTGGCTTTGTCACATGACTTAATATGCTTCCTTGCCATCCCGTATCCGCGTGAAACCCTCATGCTACACTTTTTCCGCACCATTTGCAAGTTGCGTACCACATCCCGGTCCTCGGGTCCTTCTGCGTATCAAAAATTCAAAATTATACCGTATAACGGCATATTGACTTTCCATCTTTAAAATGGTAGATATAATAATTCTACAAATACTAGAATAGATTGAGATGAAGATGGAGAATGGAGATTGGATATTGGAGAAGATGTGTATAAAAATGTTAGAAAATAGGAGTATTTATAGAAATTTTTGTACCCCCACCAGTGGGTAACAAAAACGAGGTAATTTCAAATTTTTGTACACAAATCACCCATCAAAGTTTGCAAAATAATTTTGTAACCTTACCTTTTCCGCACCATAAAGCCTTGAAATTTCTTTCTTAACCGTTTTGAGACTATAACCTCTATATTGAGAAATTTAAACAAGATTGTGCATAATCACGAAAAGCAAGACTTTCAGAAAACAAATAAGCCAAATTTTCTTCAACAAGTAAGTTAGTCATACCTGTCAAATTCTGTGCATCATTGTATGAGAAATTACCAAAAAGTTGTTGGTTATTTGCAAATCTCGATATTTGAGTTTGCTTCCCCGTTCCGCCGCCTAATTTTGCATACTCCACCGTGTGTTTGGACTTAAGATGCCTTGTGGCGGATCCGTATCCGCCGGAAATCCCCAACCTATAATTTTTCTTGCACCACTTGCAAGTTGTGTTCCAATTCCCGGTGTTCGGGTCCTTCCACTTATCAAAATAATTTTGCATTAGTTCAGATCAACTTTTTTTCGTACTTGTTTGGGATGAGGCAGGCTCGTCGGCGTCGTGGCTGCCACCACCCTCCTCCGTGTTGCCGTCGTGGCTGTCCGGAATTACTTCCTCCACGTCATCGTCCTCGAGCTCTTCTTCGTCAATGGTCCTCGACTGGTCTTGGAAAAACCGACTATTATGTCGGTGCATTTTTTGTTCTAGTTGTTCGTCGGTCATGGCATCCCCATCCCTCCTTGCGTAACCTGTATCAAAATCATCTTGACTTTAAGATGAAGAACCGATATGTGATTTACCTTTGAGGGATTTCTTCCTCGCAAGCTCGTTCGTTCGGTTGCGCTCGAGGTTACCCATATCAACCGAATATCTACCACCTTCCATCTTAAAAATGTAATCTAAGTAATATAATATATGTATTTATAAGTAGATAATTAATATATAAGTAGATAAGAAATATAAGTAATATAAATATATGTATTTATAAGTAGATAAATAATATAAGTAGATATATAATACATTGGAGAATAAGAGAATTTGAGAAGATGAATATCAAGATAATAATTAGAGAGTAGAGTGTAGGATTTAGGAAGAGATATGGAAAATGTTTAATATTAGGAGTATTTATAGTTTTTTACCC